TATTAAATAAATACAGTACATGTTATATGTAACAATTAACAATTTAATCAATATTATTATTATACCAAATATTGATAGTATACAATAAATTAAAATCTGGTTTAAATCTGGCTGCTATAATTTCAACCAGATTTTTCAAAAATGAAATGGAAAAACCGGCTATTTTAAGTACAATTTCAGGCCCTGGTTTACCCTGTTTTCCCTCCCCTTTTCTATTGGCACTAGCTTGGCTTTGATGTTCCGCTCTAATTTAAAAAATAAATTATGAAGCTAGAAAGGTACTATGAAAGCAGTATATATACTAAGAAAAATCTTACGTGCTAAGAAAGGTGGTATTCCTTATTGGGAGTTTTTTTAATGATACTCGGAGTAAAGGAACGATCACATCTGTCACATAAGTTCCTTCGCTTTGTGCTTTTGCAAACTCTGGATCAAATGCAGAGTTTCTCCAGATATTGTTTAAAGATTCTAAAATCTCAGTAGAGATGTCTGCTAATTCCTCATTTGTTTCTTTCCAAGTATGGTTATGTAGATATTTTGGTGGAGAGATTTTGATCTCATCTTTATTAAAGTCTTCTACAAATGCATTACACATCTCTCTGATATTGGGCGGTGCATCCATTTTCATCTGTTGCAACAGCTCCATGAAATTATGATAAATATTCCTGGGTAAATTTCGCACAAAATATGATTTGTCGCTAATTACTTGGCTGGCAAATGGATCTTGCCATCTTAGATTATCGACTTCCACATGATCTAAAAAATTATAAAGTTCCATGGCAAATGGAGACGATTTCCCTAAAATACAAATATATTTATCTTTAGAAAGCTGATTTTATTAGAATATTGATATTTATTTACATACCCTAAGTTTTCCTTTTAATTCTCTCATATTTTTCTTGGTTTCTTCCTTATTAATTTGTTCAATTTCTTTCGCTGTTTCGATATCACGAAGGCTACATACACCTTCAAAGGCAATATCAAACTGGCGTATAAAAATATTATGTTAGTTCTTATCAGTATAAGTAATCTATTCGCATTAATAAAAATCACGAGCTTGTGTCATCAGAGATGTATACAAAGTTGCTTTCTCTGCGTGGCCTACACATTAAAAACAACCCTGGTCCCTACATATAAATTTTTAAAACTTGCAAGACAAAGTCAGAGCACCCCCATGCATTGGTGAAGTTGAATTCAGTACTAGCAGGCATCGAGTACCCAGAGTAACCTCATAATTTTTAGAGTTGAAGCTAAAATATTACATTGAATAGGAACCCCACAGACTAAGTCTCACAAATTTAAAAAACTTATTGGAAAGAAGCGCCACTCATCATTTGCCATAAATATAAATAAAAAATATTTTAACTAACCTGTAGAGAAACAGTAAGAAGTTTATTTTGCGCTTCTTGGGGGTATTCATTTTTTGCTAATGAAATAGCATCATTTACTATACTTCTTAAATTATCTTTTTCTATCCATGGATCTTCCTCCATAGCTTTATAGATGACAGAAAATGCGGTAATATGTTCCAACAGGGATGTAATAAGAAAATTAAAAATTTTTCCGGATAATCTGCTAGACATTTTACGTAGTTATATTGGTTTAAAGTATAAAAAATATATTGGTGTTAATACGATATACAAATAATCACTATAAAAGCAATGAATATCCATAACTCAAGATACTGTCCTTTTTAAACGTATTCCTTCCACATATAATAATAATAATAATGCATAATGCAGAGAGATAAAGCAATGTATTTACGCCAAAAATTTCTCAAAGAAAATGAATGTACATGAGGTAAGCAATCGAATTTGGTTAATCGCACAAATAAACATACATGCATATTACATTATTATAGTCAGGTGGTTATATTCATTGAATTTTTTTGTTACACAACCCCATTAAAATCTCGTATGATATAATTGATTATCTGATTGATTATGCAGATAAGTATCAAATTTGAATTTCTTCTTTGCTAAATGATTAGAAAAATATGGAAAAGACACTCAACTCTTACCTACCCACATTTAAGAAAGATCCTGTAAAATATATGTATGAACTTCCAATTTTCATGAAGAAGTACAGTCAGGGAATTTATTGAAGGTAAGTATAAAAGTGTATACTTAAAAAGTAGATCGCGGAAGATCAAAGATTATGAGAATCGTATCTCACGCAACAGGCAATTCTGAAATGGTCAATAGATACACATATACATTGTTAAAATAAATGTCTGAAAAATGTGCAAACCATTAATTTTTGTGTTAATATTGATTAAAACCACTATTACTATAAGAGTATTTCATCTGTGTGTGGCATAGTTAGACACAGGTATGTCCTCGAGGTCAGGGGCGTAGTAATACTATTCTCACGAAGGTTTTGTTTTATTTATTATATATTTAATATCACCCAGACTTAACTTCGAAATAGTCAATGCCGTAAAAGAATTTACTAATCCTATCTTTTCTTTTCCAATATGTTCTTGACTAAAAAGAAAGTAAACCTTTTGAGCTCTTTCGGTTCTCTTCTTAAAAGCATCTTCCGAAATATTGCTAGGTAATTGTTCTCTGGCTTCCTTGTTAACTTCCACTTGAGCCATCTGGTCATTCTTAACTTGGCTATAATGAAATTAGAAATGTTGTGATAAAAGTTCTCCAAAATTATAGTAACATTGAATCACTTCTTGCTTCGTTTTTTCATTTCGAGTCTCAGCTTTGGTAATTTCGCGATATATAAGTGTAAAAAATTAAGAGCATCTATCGTTGAAGCGGAATCGGAAGCGGATATGGATGAATCTTGGCTTGGTGTATTAGCTAATTCTTCAATGAGTTTTTTCAGTTTTGATGATTCATCTCTATTAATGGCTTTCGGTTTTTTATTAGAGGGTTTATCAGCAGATGTAGGTTCACCAACATGCTTGGATGGTAAAATACTTGCAGTCGATGTTCTGGGTATATCAGTTTCCATGTTTTGTGATTGATTATCATCGGGTGAGTCTTCCGCGATTGTATAGTTGGCTCGGTCTAAAGACCTCCTAAGTTTTGCATAAATTTTAAAAGTATAGAAGTCACTTTCTGTCCTAT